ATGGAATCAATTTTGGGAACTACAAGGGGGAGCTCTGAGCCCACTCTGGATGCCTGGAGGAGCCGAATGCCCCAGACCTTCTCAGCACCTCCCTCCCTGCCCTCCTCAGCCAGCCCTGCTGGCCGGGACCATCTGGGGATGGAGCTTGGTGCATGGACTGCCCCTCCCCACAGGCAGCTGCACACTCAGCAGAGTGCGACCCTGTTCAGGGCACTGGCACGCATAAGGTGCTCTCTGTGTAGATGCAGGAGGTGCAGAAACCTCTGCATACTCTGCAGCATCGGGGTCAGGCCTGCACCATCTACAGTCATTTCCATCCCAGACTTCTCCAAAAATGCTTCTGAGCTTCCCACTCCAGCACAGCTCCCTTCCCTCTGCTCCCAGGCTGGGATGTCATGCTGTGTCCCACGCCACCTGCCAGCCAGAGCCACAGCACTTGCTGTCAGGCTCTCCAGTCCACCCTCACGTTCACATTGTACATACGTGCACACTGGGGTCTGGGGTTCGCCCCTTAATTCACAGTGGAGTTTTAGGGGCCAGAATGTTCTCTCACAAACTATGTTTAAATGAGAATATCTAGGATGTCCTGAGGCCTCCGTCCATTAAGCAAGAAGGCCTCACTGGGACAGTGTCACGAGGAAGAGGGTCCTGGGCTGGGAGCCAGACTCACAGGTGATGCCGGCTGGCTCCTCAGTGCGGCTAATGCTCTCGGGGCATCTCCTGTGTCCAGCCACTATCTGGCCCCACAGCGGTGTCTGTCTTTGACTGGGCTATTCTATGATTCTGTGGAGAGGAAAGTCACCTCGGAGAGCGCTGCTAGCAACACCAGTGTTTCCCGTGCACACACGTACGAGCCCTGTTCGTGCAGTGCAAATGATGCTCGTCAGGCGGGGAAAGATTCCAAGCGCTCTTTATTCAGGAAAAAAANAAAAAAATGATTCCAAGTTTTATATGGAAGTCTAAAGGGCGGGGAGAGTCAGGTTACTCTTGAGGAAGAAGAACAGGTGGGAGAACCTGCTGCTCGAGAAATCAGGGCGTGTTGTAAGAGCACAGAGTGGATGGAAGAGGGACTGACGCCGGGAGTGATTAGGAAGCTCGTCACGTAAGAATACTTAATATACGACCAAGGTGGCACTGTGGGATTGGGGGGTCTTTCTAGTTAAGGTTGCTAGGACAACTGTGCATCCATCTGGACAAAACGTAACCTGGCCTCTACTGTACAACGCGTGCGTGTGCACACACACGCACACGCACACACGCACACGCACACACACGCAGTGCACACGTGTGCACACACACATGCATGCACACACACGCACACACACGCGCGCAGTGCACACGCACACATGCGCACGCACACGTGCACACACACACGCACGCGCACGCACACACGCACACACACACACACGCACACTCACACACACGCAGTGCACACATGCTCATGTGCACACGCACATACACGCACACATGCATGCACACACACGCACGCGCACACACATACACACGCACACAGAGTCCAGGGGAGCAAAGACCTAAGTATAAGAGACAAAACTGTAAAGTTTTGAAAAGATAAAGCTTCACGACTAAGATAAAAGGATTTCTTAAACAAGACACAAAAAGCACCAATCCTAAAGGAAAAAGAAGTCATCAAATTAGACTACTTTAAAATGTAAAACTTTAGATCATGAAATGATAACATAAAGAATATGAAAAGATAACCCACAGAGTGGGGAAAATACTTGCACTTTATATGAATATATTTTTATGTAAATTTTAGGATCAGCTTGTCCATGTCTGCAGAAAGCCTGTTGGGATTCTGACAGGCGTGTGTTTGATCTTTATATTGATTTGGGGAGAATTGCAATCTTAACATTATTGAGTTTTGCAATCAATAAACATGGAACATCTCTCTGTTTACTTAATTCATCCTTGGTTTCTCTCAACAATGTTTTGTAGTTTTCAGTGTACAAATCTTGCACTACTTTTGT